TGGTTAGTTATGGTAGGATTAGAAACTTGTACTTGGCCATCTTTACTGGGATTTGGAGATCTTAATAATTTTGAGTCAGTTATAAAATTATCATACACTAGCAAATTATTTACAATTTGTAATATTTAAATTTGATTTGGTTCAAGCAAGGAAGTTAATAAGGAGGAAAAGTCATCTACTCAACATGGAGAGTTGTCACTTTCAACATTGTTTTCTTACAGCAAACTGACTCCAGATATGCTCCACAGAAATAAGGATTATTTTCTTTTATTGGGCCTACCCCAAAGTATTCCTAATTATTGGCAACAAGAGCTGAGTTTCCATGCAGTGTAATTCTATGAGCTATTTCTGACAGCTTGATAGAGATGAGAATTGAGCCTTTGACAAGCCACACACCAGTCATTTTCAAACCATTCAAAACATACCAGACCCTCAGGGAGCATGGGCTAAGTTTGAAATTTCATATTTAATAAACTTCTGCATTTTAAAGGGCCTATTTTTAAAATAATAATATGTCTACACAAACACTAATGAATGAATAATTAAAGCAATTGTCTGGATTTCAGACCCAAATGACTTTTTGCTTAATTACCTATTTCAGGTAAAACTTTCTTTTCATTGTGGGACAGGAGGTGTGGAAGAAAAGGTAAAGATAATCTAACTGAAACATAATGATAGCCTAGTGGCTAATATAAAATAGAGAAAAAATTATTAGCGTATAATCCAAATCAGAATTCTGCTGTGTTTTTCAAGACAACTTTAGAACTATAGAGTTAGAAAGAGTATCAAAGGCTACTTTTATAAACCTTTATTTTTAAAACGAAGAAACTTTTGCCTAGAGAAGTGAACTCCCAAGTCCTATATCTTGTTAGGACAAAAGCTGGAACCGGAACCAGTTTTTCAGACTTCTGTATGTGTTGTTTATAAGGCATGTCTGTTTTATTCAGCTGATTCTGTATGTCTCTGGGTTTATGCTCATTAAGCAATATCCCATTTGGAGAGTGTGTGTGACAATGCATGCACAAATGTACACATGACAATACATGTGTATGAACAGGTGTGTCCATTAGATTGATGAGCACAAATGAGCGCACTGGTGGGGATATCGCAAATGGTATCCAAACAGGCAATTTTAGGAGGTTTAATAGGACTACTTATAAAGATGGAGGGAATTCACAAGAGAGTCAAGTTATGGGATTGGGGAAGGTTTCCAGAACTTTCAGTAGTAGTATGGGGAGACTTGTCTGGCAAGAGCTGCATGGACTTCACACTCATCCTCGGACAGCGCCACCTATTGGCCAAGTGCAGCCAGAAACTACTCAGCCCGGGCAGCCAGGGGATGCTGTTCACATGGGCCAGTCTTCAAGGTCGGAGAGGGGGCCAGGGAAGGGCAGAGTGGATCCGGATGGGAAAATATAACATGTCCAGTGGTGTATACATATGTGCGTGCGTGTTTGTGTGTGTGTGTGTAAAGGGAAAAGTGACGAAGATAATATTGCCCGTCATGTGTAAGTTGAGTAAACAGAAAACTATTGTGAAATTAAAGTTGTCTAGCAGTTTACCTCGTTTCATAGTTAATTAATACTCTTTAGGAACCACTTTGAGTTCTCCTTAGAAGACAACTAACAAGCCATGCTGGAACACTGTTACCACTCGGGAAAGGAGCAGTACTCTTACCGCTCCGAGTAATGATGGGACCGGCAGAGAGGACAGCGTTGCCGGAAGTACTCTGGGGGCTCCAAGTGGTCCTCCTCCCTGTATCTCGCCTTTCTCTGTGGCCACAAATCTAAGGAGTTAATGAAAATAAATGAAATTCCACACCAGCACACAATTGTTTCTTTATGGCCATTTGGAATGCAGATTCTTTTGGAAGAGATACCAAATGTTTAATTTTATTCATTTACTTCTGTGCATTTATTTTAACTACTTTGCATATAACTGTTGCAGTGTTTCTTATCCTGGCTGGGGCCACATTTCTTATTTCTTCCTGTTGTAATTGTGCATTGCCTCATTAATTTACATGGCTCAATGGCCCTCCTGAAAAAGAGCTGTGTTTATCAAACTTTTCTACTTTTATTTCTCTCAAGCCTTTAATAAATCTTTCCCTGAAATGTTGGTCAGAACAGAGCCAAGGAAATGTGGACTCTCCATTTAACCCCGTGTGATGTTTCTAGTTAGGACTAAAGCAATCAATGATTGTGAAGAAATGCATGAATTTGAGTATAATTATAAACACATTAAAGCTATTTCAAATCAAAAAACATGACTGCATTTTTCTCAGGTGAATACTAATGGAACCCTAAGGGGCTTGTCAGAAATAGAATTTTTTTTTTTACTAGTAAATTTATCTATATTTTAGTGGTGGCAGTACAGAGTCCAGATCCACACTTTTCACAGCTTTTAACTTTTAATCCGAGGTAATTCCTAATCTAACTTTCCAGTGCTGGCCCTGCCCCCATCCCAGGTTTTCTCATCGTCCTCTGCTCCGCTCCGTACCCCTGCTCAAGGACTAGAAGCCCCTGGTTGCTCTTTGTCATGTGTCTGTGACTTTGAGCATCCTTTGGCATGGAGTGTCTCTCACACTTGATTTTGCCCTTTGGGGTTCATCTGTTTTCAGAGTCACCACTTGAGTTGCATCCCTTCCACCATGCCTCCCAGCCTCTCCTGCTTCATCTCTCTGACCACAAAGAATAGTGCCGCTTACCACAACCCACGTATACGTCTGCCTTTGCACCGTAACATTTTTGTCTTACTTTCTTCCATGACCATCTCATTCTCCAAAGGGATAAGCCAAGTGAATTCAGAACTCATGCACAGGTCTCTGTATTCCCAGGATAATGCCTAGCACAAAGTAGGCACTCAATAAATCTTTACCGGATGAATGAAAAAAAATCCTTCAGCTGTTTGGACTGCTGCGTACTCACTTTCTACGGAGAAATTAGTTCCTAACCCTTGATAACCTTCCAGCTTGGATCAGTTCAACAGCTCAGAATAAAGTTGCTAAAAACATACTGGCATAAGGAAGGGGCAGTCATCCGCCCTGCAGAGCTTCGTCGCGCAGTGCAGGAAGACGGTGGACATCTTCTGATTCTTGTGTTTCACAAATCGGAACACTTCAAAGGAAAAGCGGCCCCGTTGGCTTCTACCATTTTCAATGACGGTGGTCTGAGGATCTTTGTCACAGCTACATTTTAGGGAATATGATAACAGGATATTACTGGGAAGTACCAACCCACCATGACTTGTAAGTTAATTCTTCAATACTAAGAGTACTCCATTACATTAAGAGTTAACAAAATTATGCTGTGTAACAGATATTTAATAAGAGAATAAGCCAACTCGACAGTTGTGACAAGGGTGACCTCGATCATAAAATTTAAACAGATCAGTTTCTGATTAAAGATTACTGTCAAATTTTAGAGGAATTATACTTTCACACAGTTCAAAAACTCAAACAGTATAAAATATATACAGTAAAAAGTCTTTAGCCTCATTTTGCTCTTGTGCATGCTATTCCACGTCCACATGCAAACCCAAGTGATCTCACACGTCACTGCATCTCCATAGGACATATGCAAATAGAAGCAGAAGTAATATTCTCAATGTTCCCCCTTCTTGTGCTGACAAATGATAGCACACTGTATTTTTTTGTACCATGCCTTTTTAAATTTAGCAATCTAGCTTAGAAATTTTTCCTAATCAAAATTTAGAGAGCCTCCTTAGTTTTTTTTCCACAGTTGTATATTACTTCATCATGCACATGTGTCAGAATTTATTTGGCCAGGGTCCTATTTATGTATATTTGAATTGTTTTGACTCTTTTGTATTTTACAAAGTAGTAATGAATAGCCTTATAATACATCTATGTGTCTGCAGGATCATTTAACAGATTTTGCCACATTGCCCTCTATAAAGATTGCTGCATTTTGTACTCCCCCAGTAACATATGAAAAAATCACTCTCTCTCTGAGTTACATCAACAAAGTGTATGCATAAAATTTTGAATTGTTCCCTATTTAATAGGAACAATAAAATATCACCATATACTTTTAATTTGCCTTTTACTTAGTGTGAATGAACATGTGCGGCCCTTCACGTTTATTAGAGCCATTTGTGTTTATCTGAAAATTGTTTCTTTGCCCCAATTTTTATTGTGTTCTTGGCCATTTCCTTCTGATTCCTGTAAATTTTTGTTTTTAGGAAATGTAGCTCCTTGTTTGTTATGTATGTTGTAAATGGTTTTCCTCTGTTCGGCTTTGGACAGTTTTCACAGTGTGTGTGTCTGCACACAGAAATTTTACTTTTATTTAATTTATTTTTCAATATTTTATTTTATGGTTTCTAGCATGTGGGCTGAAGACGGTTTTCCTTACTCCAACGTTCTAAAGCTATGTTGCATGTTTTCTTCTACCACTTTTAAAAGTGTAGTTTTTACTTTTAAATTAATAATCTATTTAAAGTTCATCATGGTATATTGAGTGAAGCACAAATTCTGTGCTATTTTTTCTTATAGTTATTTTATATAACTATATATAAAATATATAGTTATATATAAAGTCCAGCACTGTTTTAGAACATCTCTGTTAATGCCACTGATTTGTATGGTATCACACTCTATCATACGGTAAATTTCCACATTTTGAATCGTTCTCTCCTGTTCTAAATTTTTATCTATGTGTCTGTCCTCACATAGTACATGTCCCTTTAATAGCATTAGGGCTCCTATTACCTGTAATATCTGGTGGGGCCGTACCTCCTCATTTCCATGTGGATCTCCCCCTTCCTTTGGCATTCTGTGGGTTTGTTGTTTAGCCCTTTTTTCTCGATTAAGTTAGCTTGTGCCCCTCTGTTCCTGCAGGTGTGCCTTCTTCCTGGGGCTTTCTGGGATCTGTGCCACGGGGGCCCCTCAGCATTCACTTTTCTTCCCTGTTCCTCCTGCCACCTCTTCCCACACTGCTTTCTGCAAGCTTTTCCCTGCACTGTTTTGTCTTGATCTTAACCACTTTTATCCACATTAACACATACTTTGGGATTTCTAGGTTTTCTGTTCCTCCTAGTTTCACTACAAATGGTATTTGGAGGACTTTTTTTAGTTACCCATTTCAGTCACTGTAATTTCCAAGAAGAAAACTGAAAGGAGGACTAAGCTGAAGCCATAGTCTTACAGAAAGTCTGATGACCAGATTCCAGATTATCAATATGCAATCATTATAGAAATTCTGGAAAATAAGAGAAATGTCAGAGCAGAATGATCCACAGTTCCACTGTGCATTATTCAACCCTGTGAACCTTTTGATGTGCTTCCTTACAGTCTTTTCCATCATGTAGTATATACATGAGGTCAACTGTACAAATAGCTGTATGTGCTAATTCTTCCCCTTCATATTTTAACCCATTTAAATTTTAAAGAACCACATATTTCTAAACATAGAAATATCAAGAAGACAGAAGGGGAAGAGATAAAATAGAACCAACCATTTTTTTTCTGTTTTATAAATAACTTTATGTGATTATAGTGCCTGTGTGAGCTCTCAACTTACTGGTTCTCCATAATTAAAATAGCCATTCCCTTACTGCTGAACATGCATTTGGTACTCATGTTATACTATTTTAACTGGCACTGATTGACAAAAAATCATAAATATTTTAGAATATGCTTCCTAATTCATAAACATAGAATCAAAGAATATGAAGTCTTCTAAAGATTTTTAATATATACTGACATTTTTTCCCAAAAGTATTGCCCAAAATAAAACTTCCAGCAATAGGATATAAGGATGTCAGTTTGACCATACCCTATGAATATCTTCTTAACCTTAACTAGCCAATAAAACTTATTCTTTTGGTTTCCCATCATATTACTCCCATCATGTGTCAATAAGTGGCCATGATCAGAGCCAACTGCATTTTATAAGCATGATTAGAAGCCATTGCTCGAATCTCAAGTCTGTTCTCCTGTCAGATAAAAATGCTGAAAGGGAACTGGGATGATTGAATGTTTTTATGATCAATGTCCCCTTTCCCCAAATGTAGATTACTTTCACTCTATCACTGTCTATTGCAGAATGAAGTTGAAGTTATTGGCTCTGATAAAAAGAAAAAGGAGTGGTAGGCTATATTACACTTTCATATTAAATACTGATAAGTGAAGAAAAGCATCTTGGGGTCTAAATTATCTAGACCATTGGTTCAATTTTACTCTCCTTTTGACATACCATGAGACAGCCTAGTTTCAGATAAATAGTACCCTCTCTGCCTTTCTCTTATTGCCAATAATACCCTAATCATGCTTTTCCTAAGACAGTGAAATAGTCCCATGTCCTAAACATGAATAAAACATCTTTGATGGACCAAACTTACTTTCAACTCTCATTCAACAACAGCCATATCAGTATTTCATGTTGAAAACTGTTCTTCACTGTTATACTTACAACTTTATGAGGACTAAAAGTTCAAAATGTAAAACTTTAAGTTCAAAACCTATAAAAGTACTGTATAATTTGTTTGTCTGACTTAGCTTCTCTATTTCAGTTATCTGCAACTGGGCCATTTCTATCAATATAAGACACAGGCACCCACCTAAGGAAGAGATCATATCGAATATCATCATTTGGGTTCCCCGATGGGGTTGTATAGCAATAATCCATTAAGACATTCCATCTGCACAAAGAAATAAGAATAATCTAGTGTCAGAATCTCCTTTCTGGAGGTTAGTTATTAACCCAAGGGAAGTAGATATTGACAAACACGTTACTCCATGGTAAATAGTTTTTATTAATTATTTGCCGAGACTGGTAATTAAAATGTTGTCCTAAACTCAAAGTTCTTAAAAGTCTGCAACAAATTGCCATCACACATCAAGAATCATATATATCCAAGAATAGAAATGCCAAGAAGACAGAAAGAGAAAAGAGAAAACAGAACCAAATTTCTAGAGTATAGTAATCTTCTCAGGCTGCAAAATTTAAATAATAATAAATGAGAAGCCCAAAATAAACCAGTTACATGTTACAATTTTGTTTTAATTAGGGCAGGAATGGATCTTCAGCTTTTGGATTTCCTTTCAATTTTGATCACTTTGGATTCTCTTAAGTATCATATGAAACTCAAATGGTTTTTGTTTCTTGCAAAGATATTTCTGGGGACTGTATTATGTAATTTTGGTTCAGATCCTTATGGGAAAAGTTCTTTTGTCTTTTAATAAATTTTTATCGGAGAGTAACATACACTTACAAAAGTGTACAAATCATAAGTGTTCACAAAATAACTGCACCTGATTAATCATTTTTCAGATGAAAAAACAGAACATTCTGGTCTCCCAGAAGATTTCCCCATGCCCTCTTCCAGTCACTACCCCTCCCTCTTTATGGGAAGAATTGTACTTTTCCAATTAATGGCATAAAGTGTATGTCACCTCTTAATCTGTGTAATTTGTTATTTCGATTTATTTTCATTCCAAAATGGTGTGGTAATGACAATATTTTTTTTAAATTAAAAACGAATGCGCTAACTTTACGATTCATGGGGCTTTACACAGCCAAAATGTTTTAATCAACAAAAGATAAGGGTTTGAAAATACCTGCCATCCAGATTAGTAGCTTGTACAGCTGCAAATACTTTGGTTTTCAAAGGTAATCCTATACTCGGGATAATTAACTGCTCTCTGTAGGTTGAATCCTAATGATAAAAAATAAGCAATTACTCCATCATTGTCTTCCCTACAACAGCACATTTACTAAATGTGATATGTGTGTGTGTGTGTGTGTGTGTGTGTGTGTGTGTGTGTGTGTGTGTGTGTGTGTGTGTGTGTGTGTGTGTGTGTGTGTGTGTGTGTGTGTGTGTGTGTGTGTGTGTAGTGTCTTATGAAAAAGAGTTGGGGGAGGGTATAGCTCAAGTGGTAGAGCACCTGGTTAGCATGATTAAGGTCCTGTGCTCAATGCCCAGGACTTCCTCTAAGAATAAATAAGTAAACCTAATTAATTCCCCCTACCAGAAAGAGGGGGCAAATCAACATAAACCTACAGAACTATCTCCAAAAAGGACGTGGTTTATCCTCTAGTTTCTTGGCAGAACTGTTCCTAAACCATATCCAAGTGACAAGTTCACTTCCATGCAAATTTTTTTTGTTTCCATAGTTTACCACGTATGATACTTAATGTTCAAGGTATTTAAGTTATATGCACTGGTTACTAGTGAGAGGTTAACATGCTTTTCTAATATTCAATTATCAATATTTAGTATATTTAAATTAATATTCCATTTATTTAAATTATATTAGTGGCTAATTTTCAGTTTCTTTAAGTCATATCTGCTTCAGTTTAAGCCCTTTGGCACTGAAGCTGTAGGTCTTTATATTCTTGATAATCTCTCATTGACCCAAAGTGACTTATCTGGCAATTTGGCAATATTTAACAGAAAGCCAAAAAAGAGACCAGTATGTTCTCTGAGTTGCCAAAATGCATGCCATAGATTCCTGCACTACATTACATGGTGGGTACTTGTGTCTCGTGACTTCATTTCTACCTTTTGCTCGTATTTCAGACCAATTCTGGAAAGCTTGTTTAAATCATTCTCCAATCTGCTGGAGACTAAAGCTGCAGATTAAAATTGAGTAGTGACAGCTTTAATTTGATAATAAAGAAAAACAGAAAAAATGTAGAATAAAAACAAGTCTTCTAAAAAATGTAAGCTGTCAAATCATTTAGCATGGAGGCAAATTGTTTCCCTCAAATTTAATAACTCTGAGGATATTGCTATTTTGTAGCACAGGGAAGTTTTTAATGTTCATTATGAAACCTCAAAGTCATCAAGCCAAGGCAAAATACAGAGCATACTCTGTTTAAGAAGGCTGGGAAGAAAACAACAGATATTGAATTTCTTAAATTAAAACAATAATAGTTTGGATGCTTCACTTTTGAAAAAGTTGCATTTATGTGGAACACTTCATTCCCAAATAAAGCCAGATAAATGAGGGATTATATGCTGCACTTATTTTCTATATTTCTGTGATAAATGATAATAGTTCCTCTAACCATTTCTGATAGGTGGTATTTTTATTTATCTTTCTGGCTTCCTTTTCCAACTTCTTCAAGTTATCCACACTTCATTAACTATACAGCTCTTTCATTTTGTGCTTGCATCAATATTGTACAGAAGAATGTTTGCTTTTTAACAAGTATCATACTACAAAGTCATTTGCAAATGATATGACTCAGCTATGGTTTAATCATAAATCAATTTTTTCTCCTAAAATTCTTCTAAAAGGTAATCTTCTGATTTCATTTTGTATAGTTGCCTTTACTCTTGTTAGCACAATATTGCCCGTAAAATCAATTATATTTATTTTAGATTTTTTCTTCAACTTTTAAAAAACATTCATCATTACCATAACTCAGTTTCAGATTTACTGTTTCTGTATCTGCTTAGAAGATAGTATTATTTGGGTGCAATTCAAATTAACAGTCATTCTCACTTTTAGTTTCCACAGAGGAAAAAACTGATCTGTTTATACTATGCAAAAATAAGATCACAGTTCAACTTGAAATAACCTGCATATATTGAAATCACATGGTCAATAAAAGTCATTGTATTTATAGGTAAAATTTTCCTTAGTACATTTACTGGATCCCCAAACACACAGAAGTAAACAATTGCACTAAATTCAAACTGAGTACAGCTTTTCCTTTCCAAATAACTGACCACAGAATAAGACTAGTAGATATATAATAAACTTTTCATCATTGCTAAGGACTACAAATAAAAAATTCTGCATTTGAAATAGAAAGATATGGCCCTTAATGGTTATACAATAATATTTAATTTGAAATGCTACAATAAAATTACATTTGGGTAGCTAAATGTTACTGTTTCAAAGAAACAATAAATGTGGTTTTAGATCAATTAGCTACAGTATATCAGTTTTTTCAGGGTACATTACTAGATTTTTAATGCCCTATAAGATGACAAAATACTACAATAGTGCCACATTAAGGAAAAAAGAACTAGTTTGAGGCAGTGAAGCTCTTCTGTAACATATAGTAATGATGGACGCATGTTATATACATTTGTCAAAGCCCATAGAATATACAACGCGAAGCTTTAACCTAAATATAAACTATGGATTCTAGTTAATAATATATCAATATTGGTTCATCAATTGTAACAAATATGCCATATGCCCTACAGTACAAGGTGTAAATAACAGAGGAAATTATGTGCAGGCACTGGGGGACTATAGGAAATTTCTGTACATGTAGGTGAATTTTTCTGTAAATCTAAAACTAAATAATAAAAATCTAAAAAATAGTTAATTTAAAAAAACTAGTTGGGGGAAGTGGTTGAATTTTATTAAATAACTGGTTAATAAATAACTTTTAAGTTATTAATTCAACCGTTAGTAATACTTTCATTGCAAATTAGTTAAAAGTAAGAAGGATTTTGGTACTAGGTGTTTCATTTATAGTTTGATATCAAGCAATTATCTTTTTTACCACAGAATTAAAATCTTAAGGTTATCATCAAATTGTAGGTTTCCATTTGGCTTTAAGATTCCAGAAACTCTTTGAAGGATCAGGTCTAGTTAGCAATAGGATTAACCATACCATTTCTAATGATAGAGAAAAGAGCTTAACAGCAAAGCTTTCTGCAAATCCACACTTCTTGATTTTATAATTTTCTAGTGAGAAAATAGTTTAATTTTATAGAAAACAGTGGTATCCGTAAATGTCATGGGGGTATATATTTCACTGTTTTAAGATTGGGAATTCTCATTTTTGTTTCACTCAATTATAACAAATAATACTGAATCCAAACCAGTCACCACAATTCTACCTCAGGGAGCTCACACATATAAATCAACAGACAGAAACGTTCTAATTTTAAAATATTGCTCACAATAATAATAAATATCTGGTCATACTGGGAATGAATATTGGTGCATATTTGCTGAGTATCATAAAGCCAAGTATCTTGGCAGCTTCTCCTTGCAGAAAAAAGTTCAGAAATGACAGAAAGGCAATCTTCATTCCAACACATTTTAATTTGTTGTTTAGAACTCCATGGTGTCAGACTACAAACTTATAAACATGATTTTTTTAAATGCCTTTGGAAAATGTCCTACTACAATATTTATAGCTCATTATATTCAAAGTATAAAGCACTGACTTATAAATCCGTTGCATGAATTATAACTCAGTGCCATGATGATATGAATAATAATGTAAAAATCAGATTCATAATTTACAAAAATGTTGGTTGATAGATTGAAAAATTGATATTTAAATCAGGCATTTAAAATGTATGAATAAAAATTTTTAATCAACATGAAAATATCATTTGGGGGATTAATGTTAGACTTATAAATAGAAATTCATGTATTTTTCACATTTCGCTGCCACTGTGGATATTTACATGACAAGTTTAGACAATACTATGGAGTCATCCCAAATTATTTCAGATGTAACAGAATTGACAACAGCCAAAACTCACATTGAAAATGTTAACACATTCATCACCAAGTACCATGACTTCAAGTGAAGTATCATTTGGGCTTTTCCTGTCTTTTTTTTTTTAAACACATTTATGGTGGTATTTTCTATCTTTTTTCACAAATATATTATTCCCAAAATCTTGACTCTGACTATGGCTACACATACACATACACACACAAATGAATAAATATACATAAAAATAGACACTTGGAATAACTATGCAGAATCACATTTATGAAGTAAAATTTATATCATTTATTAATTTCTAGAAAATCATGGAGTGTTTAGTATACCTTTATCACTAAGATATATGAAAATTGTAGTAGAGATAAATAAATGGTACCAAAGTATAACAGGATTAATGTGGCTTTTGGAAGATTATATATAAAAGCCATTCGCATAAATGGCTCCTCAGAACAGCGAGAGAGAAAAGAACACTCTTCACCCATCAGCTTACGTTATAAAGGAGCAGGTTCAAAGTGCTGACAAATGTACCATTGTTCTCCCTCACAGAGATAGCAGCTGAGGACCTAGAACAGAGTGTGTAAAAGGAAAGCACTGATGAGATTTTAAATTAAAGGTTTCCATTATACCTTAATGTCAGATTTAAGGCACCAAAACTCTTGAGCAACCCTGACATACTTTTAACTAGGCCTGGAGTGTGCATATTGCTTAAATCACTGAACAGATAATCACAAAGCAAGAGGGATCAAGCAAAGATCAACTGTTCTTTATGATTTTTTTATTTTTAAAGAAATACTTTTTTCCATTTTTTATTACATATATAAGACCTTTTGCAGAAAACATCATTCCAAAAAAAATTTGAATCTGATGCAAATATATTTTCATCAATACCATTACAATAGAAGTTTCATGAGATCAGGGATTTCGTTTTTCTTTGTTCACAGCTGGAACATTGCATGGTACAGAGTTGGTGTACAATAAATACTTATTGAATAAATGAATAAATTTCCACATGCACTGAAGTTCAGGGAAGTATTTAGTGGGGAAGTTGAGGGGATTAGAGTGAGAGAGTATGACCTACTTCCCTCTCCACCTGTACCCTTCTGACTCAAGGCCTTTCTTTTTTTTTGTTTTTCACATCAAAATTTTGCTTTTAACCAGGCTTTTTATCACCACTGTGCCATTAAAAATCATCTATGAATATTTTTTTAAATGAAGCAAAATGTGTCCCCTACGTTCCCTTGTGACTAAGATTAAACAATAACTTTACCTTTGTGATAGAAAACCCTAGACCTGGAGAGGGAAAGTTTTTACTCCAACACCTCATCTTCTCAAAAATATTTGACAAATCCATACGATTATATTGTAATGTGGATGGTAACCTGTCGTGGAATATGTGCTTTGAGAGTAATGAATGAATACATGACTATAAACAAAAGGCAATGACCTCAGCCCCATGTCTGATGCTCTTTGGCTCTGGGTGATGCCACCTTTCCTGGGAACCATCAGCACCTGTGCAGGTGAGTCCTCAGCAGGAGGCATGGAGAGCTCAGATTCTGGGGCAGCAGAGTCCAGCAGTGAGAGCAGATGGCTGAGAATAAGGCCAAGCAGGACCCAACAATGTGGTGACTGAATGTTCTATACACTGGGAACATGATAGGCCCTTCTGGATTGCATAAGCATTCAGGGATCTTGGGTTTTTGGGCAATTCTGAAGGCAACCGGAAGAACCCAAGGCAGATAACTGACTAGCTGAGTCAGTTTTAATTGGGGGAGGGGGATGCAAATTAAAACTGAGCTGTTGATATGCATCATAACAATAGCAATTGTAGATAGATAGATAAGATCTAATATGGTTCCCATTAGATTGTGTTTAGCTATTCTCAACAAATCTCACTACCTTTATAAATCCCTTAAGGGTAAGAATGACTCAAACTAAGGACGATATGAAAAAGCAAGAATAAAAATGTAACTTACGAGGCAAGCTGGGTATTATTAACCAGGTATTCCAATGGATAACTACAACTAAATTTGTAAAGAAGCCCAGGTAGATAGCTGATGATTGTCGGTGGGTCTGGAGTATCAATATATCCTGAAATATTTCCTATTTGTACTGAAGTTGCATTTCCATAAGTACTGACTCCAGGAATTGTGGATACCTGTTAGAACGGTAGACCAAGCTCAGTGGTTAAATAGCTACATATAAATCTAGGCATTTCATATGTAAAACAAAATATTAGACTGGACCATTTCCAGGGTCAGTTTCAACTATAACATGGCATGGTTTTGAAATTATATACATATCATGCTACTTACAAGCAATAATATGTGTCTTTCAGCTAAACAAAACTTCATATTTACCAAAGACTACTCAAATTTCATAAATAAGAAAGGTGAGATTATATGTTCAGAGGGCTATAACAAATAATTTGAAAATGCTCATGGGTATAAGACTTCTGTTAATCCGATCTTATTTCCATGTTAGCTTCATACCTCCTGGCTCCCAATCTTGGTGGGTGAATACTTCTCCATTCCCAAGGCCCTTGTTGCTCTGACCTTTGTGCATTCTCCTTCTGCCTCCTCCCTCCTGCACCTCACCATGACATATCCTGCTCCTCCCAGATCTCACCTTCCCTGGAAACGTCTGATTCCCCCACAGCATCTATCTCCACTACGGAAGCAGTCACGGTGCATGAGCGGTCTGACTCGTCAGGCCCCTCATCCCCAGTCAGAGCTCTTTGGTCTCGTTGGCCTTTGCGTCTTCAGCATAGCACAGTGGCACCAAAATCTTGGAGCCCCCGAGATAAGCTCTGAACAAAGGAATTAAGGTCACAAATTTTGTGGGGGTCAATCTTCTCAGGGTCTTCCTCTGTGGTACATGGAGATCCTCACCCCTTTCCAAGACAATGGGCTTCGGAGGGATAACGAACTCCCAGAATTTATATAAAAAGATTATCTATTTTCCTGGGACTGATTAGCTTTCATTGAATTCTCTAATCCTCCCAAAATTTAAGAACCACCATTTCAGGAGTAATCAATTATGTTCTTGATCTTCATTAGACCATAGAGGAATACAGCTTCCCCTACCATGTCAAATAAATATGATGCTCAATAAATATTTTAGCAGATATTATGGAGATGTATAACATTTAATTTCCACTGAGAGAATACATGAACTAGGAGCACGTGGGCAAAGCTGCAGAAATTGTCTAGCTGATTCATGAAGGGCCAGAGTCATTATGAATGAAAACATCTTGATTCTAATCCAAATGTCTTAGTAGTCTACTTAATTTTTCCCATACGTGACTGTCCTTGGAGCAGACTCCAAAGCTGGTGACACCTAAGGCAAAAATAAAAAATAAATAAAACTTCCCCTTCACTCATTGCCTGCCTGAACTGCTAGCTAAACATACGAATTCTGTCTGTGAAAAAAAACGCATATACATATATAGCAATCTTTATACCAGAGTTATTCAATTCTTAAAAAAAAAAAAAGGAAAGGAAAAGAAAAGACACGCACACTTACTTTGCCTGCCATTTCTCCCGAGTTGTGTTCTCGGCAGCAGGGCAAGACTGAAATCCAGAGTAGAAAGCTCCTTGAAGGGGAGGCGGTGGGCTACTTGGGAGGAGGGGAAAGGCTGCTGCTCCCCACAGGGCTCCCTCCCTCCGCAAGGAAGCAGGGACAAAGTGTGATAAGCACCGCCATGTCTCTCCCTCACTCTCCCTCAGGCCCACTTCATAACCTCTCTGCACACAATTCTGAGAGATGGATAAACGCTTTTAATGAAAAGAGTCAACAGTACTCAAGCTGTAGACTTGGAAACGGTCATGGGCACAACATTCTAACTGCCCTCTGGGAAAAGATAAAGGAGATTCATAGAAATCTCTTTTTCCTGTCTCCCGTTTCCCACCAAGTTTTAAAAGCCCTGCCGTTAGAATAGTCGAGCCTTCCCCTTCATCCCAAACAGTAATTTATCAAGGGGAAAAGCCAATCTCTCCTTCTTCACTGGGCTAAGTGGTCATGCTCATTTAATCTCATTTAATCTTCTTTTTGCCTTTGCTAGGATTTATGAATAAGACCATACTGAAATAGGCAAAAGGAAAAATAGTGCTAAATGAATTTCAAGGTAACACTCTCCAAATCACAGTATTTTAACTTCAATTGATTTTAATTCCTGGGAGAATGAAGGCTTCTTTCAATTCAACTTTTGGTGCTCAGTGCATGAATAAATAAATGAATAGTGTAGACTAGTGGTTCTCATTCAAGGCAGAAATATTTGAAGAGGTGTTTTTGATTTCCCCGATGACTGGGGAGAGCATGCTACTGAGATTTCATGGGTAAGACTGGATATGATAAACATTCTGAAACTCAAAGGACAGCCCCACACAATGAATAATTTCACACTGGAAGTGCTAACAGCCCTCTTACAACACAGTAGTGTGGATCATTCAACGGTAAGCGTGATACATAGAAGATTCTAACTTCCCCATCCTATATTTCATCTTTCTTTCTGAAAGAAGTCACTGAGAAGCAACAGGCCAAGTGATTCATTGCCAAACTCACTGGAACAAACAATGTTTGTATGATAAGGTTCTTCTATAAAAAGCATTAGAAACACAGCTAATGATAAACTGTAGAGAAATATTGCTCAATGTGACTCACACAAAATAACGTTGCTTAGGTTAGCACAGTCAGTCTCAGGCCCCTCAACTGCCAGCTACAGGAAACAGAACCACTACGGGAAAATAAAATCCTATGTTTGGGAGCAGAAGCCTCAGACAGGCAAAGGAAAGTGATTTGCTCAGTTTTATTGGAAATTTTTTTTCTCGGAAGATACATCGGGCTTCCGATTATTTCATGAAATGGGGAAATTTTTTAGTTATGATCCCCAAACCTAGCACACAGTTTCACACTAATCTTACCACCAGATTGTTTCCACAGCCCTCCAAGGTGCTGAGATTGATGATGAAAATGACCACCGCAGGGAAGGTGTTGTTATTGACGAAGCCCCTGCAGTGGGAATCCCCATGCCTTCCGTTCAGGGCCAGGTCTGTTTCAGAATAACCGGAGAAAAGTACTGTGCAAAAATTAATCTTCATTGTAATGGCCTGCACCCCACAGTAGACATTGATGTCTCTTTCAGCTGAAATAAAAAATATGAAAAACAAACAAGTCACAAAAGCACAGCACAGGGTCCAAGAATAACTTTAAAAATCCCCTGATGTATTTTCATCCCCTCGATCTGTTTGATTCATTCTTCTACTTGAAGATACCATAATCTAACAAGAAAGTTACTACGAAAAATAGCCAGGAAAAAGAGTCTTTGGTTTAGTTATCTCAGGAGAGGTCTTTGAGTGGAGAGATTTTAGTTCATCTCTGTTCCTTGTGCCTGGTATACAGTGGAGGTGCATTAAATGTTGGTCGAGCAGTGTCAAATGATTGGAGAATTGAGTGGAAAGAATTAGGTCACTGAGGAAATTCAGAAGAGAGTAACTGAATTATTTAGATCACCTGTCTAGAGCAGTGAGACACACTACAAATGATGCATTTTCCCAAGTGTCAGGAAGAAGCAGTTAAAATTCAGCCTAAGCCAAACTGTTGAGCACTTTGGTGTTTTGTAACCCATCTTATCCAGGATGTAGTAACAAAAGCCATCCATCCAGATTCCATTTTATTTTATTAAATTATGCTCGAGAGAAGGAAAATGAAAATGAATCTGCTGGTACTCAAACATAAATGCATAGCTTACCCTGAGAAAATGTTGCCAGTGACAGGGCGTCAAAAAAGCAATGAACTGGTGTGGAAATGTGAAACACAATTTGTAGTTTTCCGTGACTTCATGAGTTATCCGTGATGGGATCCATTCCGGGTCTATAGAGGTGAACAGGCACACACACGCACGTACACACACGCGCGTGCACACACACACACACACATATATTTTTCATGTTATTTTTCTACCTATAATGAACAAAATATATGTAGAAAATGGAGAGTTTGGCTGCTGCAAGGTAACTCTCTAGTGGCAGAAGCTTTTACTTTTATTGGTTTTGGTAATTGTTACAGGTTGAATTGTACCATTTCCTCCAGAAGAAAAAAAAAAGATGCATCTTCACATCTTCACATCAGAATGTGACCTTATTTGGAATAGGATCACTGAAGATAGAATTAATTTAGATGAGGTCATACCAGAGTAGGGTATACCTAGAGTACTTAACTAGTATCATTGCATATCATAAATGTATTGAAGTGAATCCACACCATTAAATACGTTATGAGAGAGGTATCATTCCTTTCTTTTATACCAGTTAAAGACTTTAGCTTCACCTTTGTTTGAGAGGAATTAACTGATGTCTACAACAGCTTAACAATGGCAGTGACTGCTTTATCCAGATATAGAGTTCTCCTCTGTTTTCTGCTTTATACCTGAAGACTTGTAACCCCTGCAATTTGCTACAAGCTAATCTCACTTGAAGAAACGATAACAAACTAATGGCTTTTTACAGTGTAAGAAAAGGGATCTGTTCAAATCCATCCTAACCCAGTTTTCTAAAGACTTTTCACGGTCCCTTCCAAGGAACACATTTTTTTCCTGGTTGTGGATACTAAAGACATCTACTCAGCACAACTTTTCCATTTATGAGGTTTTGAGGGGGAAAAAAAAAGATACTTCAAGTTGCCAAAGGGCAATTCCTGCCAAAAGTAGAGAAATTTTTTCAGAGTTACTGAATAAGAGTTGCTCTCAACAACTAAATTTTTTAGCATTTTTATTGCCCAATCCCTGGCCTAAATTGCAGCATCCCTTTGAACTATATTTTGAATATTAAACAGCCCAATGAATACAAGCTAATGACAAAAAAAACCCAAGGAACTAAATACCTTTAGATGTTTGGTTTTTCGTGTTCTGTGTTTAAAGATACTACATATATTTAAAATGGTAGGCCTGCATACAGAGTTTATGTGCAGCTATGCTGCCAAAATGGTGATCTTTCCCCTAGTATGTAATCAAGCTAAGCTTAGTTTTATACATGTCTTGGTAGGTCAGAGTCATTTAGAAGGGACTGTTGGGAAGACAGGACATAGTTCCAACTGGCTAAATTTTATAAGAAATTGATTAGATGATGGTGTGAAGAAAAGGGGATGTCAAAATGATGCTGAGGTTTCAAGCATTAGTGACTGGGTGGATTAGTCCCTGAGATAAGGAATACAGGAAGGAAAACGACGATGAGCTCAGTTTTTGAGAGGCTGAGGTACATATGAGACGGCAGAAATATACAGCAGATAGTTGGAAATGTGAGTCTAATCTTTGGAGGACAGAAAACAGTGAGAGTTATAAATGTGATAATCACCAAATACTCAGCATATCCACTATAAACAATAATAGCAGACGAAATACCCACTGAGAGCACTCAGTAAGAAATGGGCTGAAAACAGAAAAATAGTTTCTCAGGTGTCCTTTAATAAGACTTTCCCTCATTTTCCCAATGAAATATAATCATTCTCTTCTGCCCTATCCCATATCACCTTAATTGTGAGTCTGCTATATCGCTTACCTGAGAGTGGATATTTTGCTTTCCCAACTAGATTATGAAATCATTGGAAGCTCTGGGTTTTCTCAGAGGGCCTAACAGATACTCAGCAAGTGTTTATTAAAATAAACTTAATTAAATTCACAAACAGCATGCATGGTTTCTAACTTTTTAATATCAAGTTCCAAGATGCACAAAGAAAATATGTGCACAATGATGAGTTCATCTTGACTGTTCATCCAGAACTCATATTTCCTGTCTCTACTCTGCCAACTGCCTGAGATGATTCCTGTTTCCAGAGTTTTAGATGAACATCACAATGCTCAATGTCAGACAGTTTCTAATTCAACACACTAAATAATAAGAAACTAATGCAGTTTTGCTATTTGTTTAGGTATTTAGCCTTTTTAAGTGCATCGGTCTTGGTGACTAATTACCTTGTTTTATTATTAATAATGAATTTTTAAACCATTTCCCCTTAAGAGTGATAGATATATTGATCCTTATTGTCATTAATAGCAAGCAAGTGCATGACAGCCAGCTGAGGTTGGCATAAACACTGTGGTTATGTAACAACATAAAGCTGGCAAGACATCATGAGTACCATGCTCCAATCAGCATGTCTCATGAATATGTATTATAGAGGATCTTATTAAAATGCAGACTCTGATTCAATAGATCTGGGATGGGGCCTATCTGTGTATTTCTCACAAGCTCCCAGATAATGCCAGTGTTGCAAGTGAAGGGGAGCAGAATTTGCCACCCAAAATACTCCTTTTCGGCATAAGGATTATCTTAAACTGATTGTTTTTTAAGAAAAAGCAGCCATGGGAGAATCTCTGAAAACAAGTGGAAGTTATCCTTCTGAAAGAACATTTACATTTATAAGAGAAATCTCCATTTGTAAGTATGTCTCCTTCTCTGTACCAGGAAGAGAGGAAGGACTAAATTTCCACAAACTCTTACAAAGGGATGCTCCTGACTTAAATCTCCATAATGACAATACTCTGGTTTACTGGGCTTTGCCTGACAACCTCCTGTAACCAGTTTCCCCAACCCCAGTATTTTCTTTTATTTTTATCTGGAGATAGTATTTAAGGTAGTGGCTTGGGTCATTTCAAGGAGTTAGTTTTTCTGGGTATCGCCCATGAATACAGGTCTTACATGTTATTAAACTTCTGTCTGTTTTTCTCTAGTTAATCTGTCTTTTATTACAGGGGGCCTCAGCCAAGAACCTACAGGGGTAGAGAGACAATTATTTTTCTTCCCCTACACAAGTCTTTTAACAAACTGAGTTGCTTAGTCACAACTATATATTTTGATTGGGCAGAAGCTAACCCTGAGGTGGGTTCCATCTGGTAAGATTAAGCACTCCCACCAAACAGTATGATTTACATGTTTACAAGAGGGAAAGGTTTGGATAAAAAAGAGACAGGAGAGAGAGACATGAATCATGAAAGGGATGGGTGTGTGTTTGATTCTCTTGCTTTCTGAGGAACTAACTGGTTTCGAATTACAGTGAAAGAGGGCTCATGAAGGGCTTTGTGAGACTGAGCCCAAATAAGTCTACTTCAGTGCTCAGGTAGGAATCTGTGAAATAAAATTGGGAATATCAGTCTTCTCCTACCTCACCTCTACCCTATTCCACAAACCATAGCAGTTTAATAACCAGGGGAGCAGGACAGTCACCTCAAATGGCAACTATGTCCTGGGCAGTCTCTGAAACCACTGAAGGAGTCATGGGGTGGGGGTGGGTGAGTTGTGAGCAAATGAAGGTCCTGTGCAGTTCAGATGCAGGTATTCCTATGAATATGACTGCACCTGTATCTGTGGTCTGGCTTGCATGCACTTAAAGATAGGATTGGTGTAAAACTGTAAAACTGATCACAGGAACCAAAACCTATTCAGTATAATAGGAGGGCCTTTTCTGTATGCTGAAGAGTGTATTGCTTTGTAGTGCCATAGATATCTCACCTGGAAATACAGGACAGACACCCCTCAGAATCTGTGGGGGATTGATTCCAGGACCCCCCTTGAATATCAAAATAAAAAAAAATCCACAGATGTTCAAGTCCCTTACATAAAACGGCATATGTAGTATTTGCATATAACCTACGCATATTCTCCTGTACACTTTAAATCATCTTTAGATTACTTATAATACTTAGTACAATGTAAATGTTATGTAAATACTTGGAAATATAATGTAAATGTTATGTAAATAGTTGCTGGCCTGCAGCAAATTCAAGTTTTGCTTTTAGGAACTTTCTGGAATTTTTTTTCAGAATATCTTCAATCTGAGGTTGGTTGAACCCACAGATGTGGAACCCATGGATACAGAGTCAACTCTAATTTGTTTCCTGGACTCCAGTAGATATTCCAAAACCATATAATCTTAGCAGGTTATAAAAGTAATTTATATATCATTTCCATTTCTATCTCTATGAGAGTAGCAACTTTTGGCACCACGTAAACTTAAAATTGCTTAGAAACAGATGTTATATTTGTTGTTTTAACTCATTTCTTTTAAGTTACTCTTCCTCTTGAGTTTTTATACAATACTGAGGTTTTGCTGCTAAAGAAGCAAGAAGTTCAAAAGGGATACTGATGTTTC